GGGAAAGGGATTTATTGGGTTGGTTTTAGTTTCGTTTCTTTTTTTTTTTTTTTTTTTTTTTTTTTTTCCCGTTTTTTTTTTTTTTTTTTTTTTTTTTTTTTTTTTTCCACTAACCAACCAACCTCAAACTCATATTGGAGGCTTTTCATTTTCTCTGGCAACAATCATCTACACTCACAGTGCAAACTTCTGGTTTCATCCTACTCCTTGACATCTCTGGGAAATGGAATCCACCCTGGTGTCAGCAAACACAAAAGTGATAAAAAAGCGAAAATACAGCAGGGGAGGATGTAAAGAATGCAAGAGACGAAAGATAAAATGTGACGAAGCAAAGCCAAATTGCCATACATGTGCTAGGTTGAACAAATATTGCGTCTATCCATCCTCCGTATCCTCATCTACTCAAAAGATCCTGTTTGAAGACCCGCAGATTGTACTTGTTGAAGGAGGTAACCAGCGAATATCCAATGGAAGGAATCGATCTACACAGTCTGGTTCAAATGTGCAATCACCCAACTTGCATCGCGACTGGAGTAATCTACTAGTGGACCTGCCACTGCACCGAGAACCGCATCCGAATAGTCTACTACCTCATCCACTCAAGTTGTATCAAGTCAATCACAGCCACATGAGGTCACCGATATCATCCAGATCACTAACACATGATACCACGTCTTTGTCCAATGTTGATGTTGATTTGGACCGCACCACCAGGTTGAACTCGCATCTACCGCAGCAACCCCATGTAATGCACCCACAACATACGGAAACAGAGCCGTCTTCCCACGAGCGCAAAGGGTACAAAATCTCCGATATCTTATCACCAGATATTGATTTCTTGAATGACTACAATTGGGGAAGTATTGCACCTGATGAGGTTCGAAATCTATTTGGGGATGCAAATGTTTTAGTCCACGACTCATTGGAGATATTTGGGTTTGAACAATTCAAACACTTTACCGATTTGGATGATGATGACGGGTTTAATCGCGGCGACGATTTTAACTACTCAAATAGTGTTCATGGATCAGAAGAGCTACTGTCAATACCCGACTTCCCCATGAAAGAGCTTTCACACAAATCCGAATCACAGCCTATTCTTGATTCGAGCCACAAATCAAACAAAGAGTTGATTGAATCCACTTTTGATGATGTGGACTTTGCAGGTCCACATGAAGTGTATTTGAACAAGTTGACCGACACTGAATTGGGGTATCACTTGTTTCCTTTTGCTCATGGTATAGGCGCAAATGCAGTGTTGAAGATTTTGTTAAAATATCTGCAAGGATGTTCGTATTTGCTCACTGCATTATTGTCGAGCTCTGCTACTTTTCAATTCATACAGAGTAGGAAACCAGTGCACGAACAAAACAGGTCCAAATACACTTCAATTTGTCTAAAGCTACTCAGTGATGCTTTCCCCAAACCAAATGAAAAATCCTCCTCCATGGCAAACGATATCGAAAAGTTGCTATTAACTATACTAATTTTAACATCGTGCTTTACGGCGACTGCATATTTCCAGCAAGAGTCTGCTCCAAATTCAACTATAATGCTTTCTTGGAAGACCCATTTGCGAGGAGTAAAAGACTTGTTGTTGAAGTACACAGAGCTCACCAAGTCTTCAAGTAGAGCTTATATCTCAGATGGGTTGGCATTAGCCAAAAGCTGGTTTTTTTCAATCGAGGCATTGGCAGAATTGAATGACCCCTTGGGCGGAACATTGCATTATCTGAAGGAAAATATATCGCAAGTTGTTGATATCATTGCGACCGATGCAGAGCACGACCATTCTGAATTGAGCAGAATATGGTTGCAAACGGGCTATTTCAGTCGGGATCGAAATGCAGAGTACCACGATGCCTTACTCAAGATCAATTTACTCACAGCACAGTATCCCAACTTGGTCCAATTTAATTTGTTCAATGGGTACAGCATCAATGTTGTGCGAATAATTGATGAAGTAACCAAGTGTTTGGATTTACTTCGAGCGCATAACAATGTACAAGTATCTGGGTTTAGAGTAGCTAAAGTTGTGTCATTGATTGCACAAGGAAGAGATTGTTCTGTTGTTCCAATGGTTAACAAGACAACATTTGAAATACCCATCGAATCTATTGGGCACCCAAATTACCCCAAACTAGAGCGCATCTCATTTCCAGCGTCATGCTACGCTAGAGAAACGTTACCCGATGGCAAGGTTGTATGCTACTCGTGGTTTGATTGGAGTGAACAAATGCATATTGAGTCACTCGCATTGAAGATTTACATCACACAGGGTATTCTCAAGCTACCTAAAAGCCATCCCATTATCAAAGAGTTGAAAATACGAATCATTGACTCAATGTTTTTCATCAAAAGAAAAAGCGGCGACTCGAGTGGGTACGCCAACGACGTTTATCTTGCGCTGGAAAAGTATTACGTTTCAAAGACTTTATTTGACGAAAGGGCACTCATGGCGCAAAGTACATTTCGTCAGTGTTTGCAAGTTCAGTTGAATGACGACGATTTAGAGAAGTTGACGCTATATTTTAAAGCATTGGCTAAGTTGGGCAATGGAAGCGCATTGATTGCATTGGAGATGATCAACAAGTCGAGCTTAAGATCGAAACGCACAGCTGGAGTAGATGAGAACAACGAGTCTCGTGGTGAGAGATTGGAAATTGTTGACAGCCCTGATGACGATCAAACAAATATGGAGTTCATACCATATTCGTAGACATTGAAAACCATAGTATTCACAGAGACGGGGGTGGGGGCGCTTATTCGTGTAGCGTGTAGCATGTAATTTTTTTGTGGTGTATGTATATGCTCGTACCCGTTTGAATATTCTCTCGCTGCAATGCACATCGTATCGGGCTCGTACGTCGCGAGAAAGATGACGATGTGGATAATGATGTAATGGACGGCGCGGCGCCTGGTGAGAGCACTGGGTCCGACGATTATGATAATTTTTTTTCGCCCCGTGTTTGTGCGACAATTGATCGATTCCACTTCCACTTCATTTTTTGTGTTTTTTCATTTCTCTTGTTTTGCTTTTGTTTTTACTTTTGCTTTTGCTTTCAACAAAACAAAGCAGCAGCCACCTCAATCTTTCCTCTTCTTCTTCTTCTTCTTCTTCTTCTGTAACGTACGACACAGGGTTTCTTTTTTTTATTCCAACTATGGCAGGAGAATCTACTCCATTGGTTTCGTCCAATGCATCTGAATCAGCAACTACTCCAAAAAGTGGATACTTGCGTAAGGACCAAATCGAGTGGGAATTTGGTGGTCCCATTGGGGCATTGGGGATGATTATCGGTTTCCCATTGTTGATGTGGTACATGTGGATCGGAGCAGAGTTTTATCATGGTAAATTCCCCTGGCCAGAACAAGACCAATCCTGGTCGTATTTCTTGTTATTGTTGTGGGAATTGGTCAAATTGAATGGATTGCCTACTTTTGGTACGTGGTTATTCTTTACTTTATTTATCATCATTCAAGGTGTTTTCTACTTGACTTTGCCGGGGGTCTGGACTAAAGGTCAGCCATTGACTCATTTGAATGGTAAACAGTTGCCTTATTTCTGCAATGCCATATGGTCCTTTTACACCACTTTGGCCGGGTGGTTGGTGTTGCATTTCACAGGAGTTTTACCAGCTTATTACATGTTGGACAACTTTGGTAGAATAATGACTGTGGCTATTGGCTATGGTGTCTCATTGTCAATCATCTTGTACTTGATTTGTATTTTTGTCACTGGCGATTATCACAGAATGACTGGTAACCATATCTACGATATGTTTATGGGTGCACCATTGAACCCAAGGATTGGCAAGTATCTCGATTTGAAAATGTTTTTTGAAGTGAGAATTCCTTGGTTTATCTTGTTCTTTTTGAGTTTGGGGTTGTGTTTCAAACAATATGAGAATTACGGGTATGTTACTCCGCAAGCTGGATTTTTGCTTTATGCTCATTGGCTCTATGCTAATGCTTGTGCAAAAGGTGAGGAATTGATTGTCCCCACATGGGATATGGCTTACGAGAAATTTGGTTTCATGTTGTTGTTTTGGAATATTGCTGGAGTACCATTCACTTATTGTCAATGTACGCTATACTTGGCTTACCATGATCCAAAAGAATACCAATGGTCAACTGCTTACAACGTCTTTTTGTTTATCTTGATCACAGTTGCATACTACTTCTTTGACACTGGTAACCGTCAAAAGAATAGTTTTAGAAGAGTCATGGCTGGAAATACCCATATTAGAAAGACTTTCCCATACTTACCCTACTCTGATCTCACCAACCCCAAATATATCAAGTGTGCAAATGGATCTTTGTTGTTGACCGATGGCTGGTATGTTTATGCTAGAAAGATGCATTACACTGCTGACTACATCCAAACTTTGACATGGGCATTGATGTGCGGATTTAGCTCCCCATTCCCATGGTTTTTCCCTGTTTTCTTCTTCATCGTATTGGTCCATAGAGGATACCGTGACCAAAGAAAATGCGAAAAGAAGTACGGTGAAGATTGGAATAGATACTTGGAAGCCTGTCCTTACATGTTTATCCCTTACGTTTGGTAAGATTACCAAGGTTAAAGTACAAAAAAAGAAGGAGCAAGAAAAAAAAAAGTTTATCGATTTTCTTACATACATATATATATATGTATAGCTGCTACTCAATCTTGTTCAGCTATGGCCACAAGTCTCTCATCTATCTCATCTGGAGTCAAAATTCGAAACTCTCCTTCAGTAGCAACACCAATCTCAATATCATTCTTTCTGAAATCAGTTCCCAACACTGAACTCAATGCAGTAATTGCAAAATCAACAGTTTCTTTCCAATCACCCTTTACATGGTCAGTCTTTTTAAACTTCTTCTCCAAGTATGTTGTAGCTTCCTGCTGCTTTGGACCAGTGGCCACCGCCTTGACGCTGGTGTAATAGCCAGCAGGATCACATTTGAAAACCTGGGGACCTTTTCCTTCATCTTCAAAATCAACTTGAACAAACGTCAATGCTACTCCCAATGGTCTCATATAGGCTCTTTGCGTATACAATTGTGACAAGTTGGCCATCCTTTTACTCAAGCTTTCAACTGGCATTTCATACCCATACTTGTATCTAAATTCAGTAGCCTCGCTACGAGCCCGCATTGCTTGCGCTCTGGCATCGGCTATGGATCCAGTGGCAACCATACCTATACTAGGAGTGATTTTGAAAATGTAGGAAATAGTCTTTGCATCCAACAATTTATCAGGAATCTTCTTTTGCGATATAATAACTGCTGAATCTTGTCCTGTTACTCCAATTGACGTGATGTTGGAGGAATTGATAGCCTTGAACGCGTATTCAACTTGGTACAACCTCCCTTCTGGGGAAAAAATAGTAATGTGTCTATCAAATCCGGCTGATCCTGACATTGTATGTGGTAATTGACTGAGTAGGGCGTGGTGGTAAGATACCGAGTTATTGGTGAATGTGTGTGTGTGTGTGTGTGAATGTGTCGTCAGTGGCGAAAGTCGAAATTTTCTGATAATTTTCTGTCTCCCTCTTTTTTTTTTTTTTTTTTTTTTTTTTTTTTTTTTCTTTTTTTTTT